AAATCCTTAAAGAAGGATTAAAAAGGGTGGATAAAAAAAAAAAAAAGAACTTGCATTTCTAGTCTAGTTTATATTTTCTAAATAGACAAGAAAGGTAGGTAATTTTCCATGCATAATTACCTAAAAGCAACTTCTCACATATGCGTATTATTTTTTTTTATTCGTCAGAAAAGGCACAAAAATGTAAAAAATTTGTCAAGTAGCTGTGGAATGGTGGCATGATAGAAATGAAAGTCAGGGGTGGGAACATAATGTTAAATATATTATGGTTATAGGGGTGGAAACGCAATGTTAAATATAGTATGGCTATAGGGTGAGAACACAATGTTAACTATATTATGGTTTTGGGGGTGGAAATACAATGTTAAATATAGTATGGCAATAGGGTGAGAAAGCAATGTGAAATATAATATGGTTATAGGGGTGAAAACGCATTGTTAAATATAGAATGGCTATAGGGTGAGAACACAATGTTACATATACTATGGCTATAGGGTGAGAACACAATATTAAATATTTTATAGTTATAGAGGTGAGAACACAATGTTAAATATAGTATGGTTATAGGGGTGAGAAGAACAAAATGTTAAATCTGGAAAAATAAGGAATAAGTGGAGCGCAGACATAAATAGCTAATAGTGAGCCTTAGTATACACCCAAAAGTGTAAATAATCAAATATACTTATAGTATTAAGGGACTCTCAAACGTAGATTGTCCCCATAGAAAAAATAGAAAACACAAATATCCAATAATGGTGCAGTATATCGATATAAAATTGTAATGTGCATAAAACAAAAAAATGAATATTGATGTATCAACATTTAACAATGTATTACTATAACACAATAAAGTTTTAACTGCTTACAAGATCACAGTGAGTGAGTTTGTGCGGGCAAAAAGCTCCGCTTCTCACAAGCGCTTGTTTTAATGATATTGAATGCTTATTGAAATGTATCAATAGTTGATACAGGACTCAGTGGAAATGGAAATATAAATTGCAGATCGATTAATCATAAATATGCTCAATTCCTCTTTAAATGTGAATGTATCAGCTGGTCATATCATTAGCTTCTATAGTATAGGGTAGGTAGAGACCAAAGGCTGCTGAAATGTTAATCTAGTATGGGTTATATGACAATCAAAGTACAGAACCGATACACAGTATATTCATAAAAAAATAAAAATTATTTGAATCCCACAGGGGGTTTAAAATCTTTATAGTTGAGTCTGTTATAAAGTGTAGCAGACAGAGTACTATTAAGAAAAGTTTATTAGTACATATAAACTGTCGACCAAACACAATATATAAAAGACTAGTGGATAAAACAGTCCCAAATAAGAGTAGCAATAGTACCAGGTATTTCAGACTGGGGGTCCGGTGATGTTGATATCACTTTCTTGCCGGCCGGATAGAAGTGAATTAGGACCTCCTCATGCTGGAATGACACTGGATTCTGGCCGCGTGCGTTCCACTGTGGCTCTGGATGCGTTCCAGTATGCTTGCTCTCAGGAACCGATGTGAAGATGCCGCCTAGCGCGTTTTGTGATCACAGATCACTATCAGAGGATGGCATCTGAAAATCTTCAATCTATTTTTATACTCATGGTCTGTTCTTGCTGATCTTGAATCAACCCTTACTGCACTCATACATAACGGTCCAAATATACAAATGCCACACAGATTGAGTATAATACAATATATGATTGATCCTTAATTAGAAATATATTTATAAAATACATAAAAACAGGCAAAACAAATTACCATATATACATAAATATATAAACAATATACATATCATTCTGTGGTAAACGTTTGTTGCATTTAAAATTAACACGAAGCAAAAAAATCACGTCATGTTACCCTATTTCACGGGTTTTACAAAAATATGTGGAAATAGACTATCAGAAAAATACTCTGGAAAGACAAAAAAGGAAAGTTAAAATCGCATAAGAGAATAAAACATACTGAAGTTCATCTATATTGCATGGTCATCGATACTTTTCAACAACGCCAAAAAATAACATACTAACAGTTCAATTGAAACTTAGTTACAAACTAATACATTAAAATTTCTAGCAGTTTAAGCATATACCCGTTTTTGGGGGGAGAATACAAGTACTGACATCCAATCTATTTACAGAGGCTGATGATTAAATAGAGTGTATAATTCAGATTATGTGGCTATTTAACTCATTAGTTGTAGGATCGTAATCTCCTTAGACTTATATTTCAATTCCTCTGAAAAACATAAGCACAGTTAGTTCGAGAGCAATAATTGTGGTAAATTAATCCCATAGGGTAGGGAGGTATAATATAAAGGCTCATAAATCAATCAATAAATAGATAAATAAATAAATGAAAGGAGTTCAATTATTCCACTGAGTGATTGCAATTTCCCTGAGTTAGTACTAAATAGAAAGTCTCTAGCTTGTGTAATCAATCCCTTTGGAGTAACACGATAGATATATTCCCGGTATATTTACAAACTATAATGGGAGAGAACTACAATTGTCGGGGGATACCGACAATTAATGAGATCCTGTGGAGGTGGACACTGGAAAGATACACAGGTACAAGTCCCTGGTCGCTTCACTTGGTCTCTTCGCTCATTCATTCACTAATCTCTGCAACAGCCTGCCATTCTCTCTGCCATGTGTTCGGATATATGAAATGGGGAAGGGGAAGCACCCAGGGGAAGCACTCATTAATTGTCTACCTTGTGGTTTTGCACTTAAGTGGTTGGTGTCAACGTTCTAATGGGGTACAGGGGTGGTCCTCGTTCGGGAGACGAAGGGATTTTGTTTGTATGAAGTCTCCCGAACAGCCAAAGAGGAACCACACGAAATAACAGAGGGAAAACACACAAAAGGTGGAAGTTCTGCTACAGGGGGAAAGGACAGCCAAAAATGGGAATAAAAGGTGCCTAGCAAGCGTCCATTCAGCGACATGGATCTATGAGTGTGTGGGAATCTGTGTGTCTGAATTTGTGAGTGAATGTGAATGTATGACTGTGTGTTGATCTGAGTGTGTGTCTGAATCTGTGTGACTGAATCTGAGTGAGTGAGTGTCATTCTGTGTTTCTGAATCTGTGTGTATGTAAGAATTAGTGTGTGAATCTGTGTGTTGAATCTGTGAGTTAGTGTGGTTCTGTGTCTGGATTTGTGTGTGAACCTGTGTCTGAATCTGAGTGAGTGTCCTTTTGTGTTTTTGAATCTGTGTGTATGTGAGAATTAGTGTGTTAATAGTGTGTTAATCTGTGAATTTGTGTGAATCTATGTGTCTGAATCTGTGAGTGAATATGGTTCTGTGTCTGAATTTGTGTGTGTGAACCTGTGTCTGAATCTGAGTGAGTGTCATTCTGTTTTTCTGAATCTGTGTGTGTGTGTGTGTGTATGTAAGAATTAGTGTCTGGATCTGTGAGTTTGTGAGAATCTGTGTGTCTGAATCTGTGAGTGAGTGTGGTCCTGTGTCTGAATTTGTGTGAGTGAAGCTGTGTCTGAATCTGAGTGAGTGTCATTCTGTGTTTCTGAATCTGTGTATGTAAGAATTAGTGTCTGTATCGGTGAGTGAGTGTGAATCTGTGTGTCCGAATCTGTGAGTGTGTGTGAGTTTGTGTCTTAATCCGTGCATGAGTATGAATCTTTGAGGCAGTGTGAATCTGTATCTAAATATGCTTGTGCAAATCTGTGAGTGAGTGTGAATCTGTGAGTGAATGTGAATATTTGAGGAAGTAAAAAACTGTGTATGTGAAACTGTGTGTGTTAATCGATATGTCTGAATCTGTGAATAAATGTTATTCCTTGTGTCTGAATTTGAGAGTGGGTGAATCTGAGTGTACGTGTGCATCTGTGTGTCTGTGAATATCTGTGTCTGTTTATGCATTCCTTTGTGAGTGTATGTCTGTGTGTTTGCTTAAATCTATGTGTATGTGAATCTGTATGTATTGGTAAGTGTCTGTGAACCTGTGTGTATATATATGTATATATCTGTGTTTCTGTATGTGTATTTGTTATTGTCTTTGTATTTTTGTGTATGAATCTATTAGTGTGTGAATCAGTGTGTCTGTGAGACAATCTCTCTGCATATTTGTGTGTATCTGTAAAAATGTGAAACGTGCTAAAAAAGAGATTTCATAAAAACAAGAGGGACTTGACCCATAGCCTTTTAGCATCTCAAAGGGTTACTCCAAGCACCATTACCACTTCATTGATTCAATGGAGGATCCTGGGGGGGGGCAACGGGGCAATTGTCCTCCCCCCGAGTGCCGATGCCCTGCTGTGTGCCTTCACGGACCGGACCGGCAGGGAGAGGAGACTAGGGAGCTCTAGCTTGCAGCTCTGCTGGGTCTCCTCTCACAAGCATGGAGCGTTGCCACGGTTACCATGGCAACGCTCAGTTCTCGCGAGAGTGAACTCTAGCCCAGGTGGTGCAAGCTAGAGTTCACTTCCCCACTAGAACCGCCAGGGATTCTCCATGAGGACCACCAGGGCTTTACAATGGATATCCCTACTCCCTGGGCAAAGGTTCTAAGGGAGGGGGGATTCTATTTTTAAGAGGCTACTAAAAAAGTAGATCCAGCAATGTTATGATTGGAGGATCATCCTGACAGTCGCCAGAGGTGTTTACCCTGTATAAACCAGGTTAAAATCAGTTTTCAATCAAATGCTGTTCCTAGAGAGCATTTGATAGGCCCAGAAAATTGCAGCACGTCCGCACTAGCCTATCAATGCTTCTCTATGGGCAAGCATTGTAATGGCTAAGATCAATGTTACCTCTAATTTTTCTGGAAATGTTCTCTTTTCTCTTTTCCCTATCCAAAATTTTGTGCGTACTGAATGTTTGTGCGAACGTAAACTTTAAATTGTTTCTCAATAATTTTCGTACAGCACAATCTCTCTCTCTCATGGTTTATAACACTACATTACAGTATTACTACGTTATAATGTAGTATTTAGTAGTTACACAAAGGTGTTACTGTAATGTCAGCCATTCAGACAGACAAGCCTCTCTGCTAATGCCCATTTTGGTCTGTTAGGCAGTCCATAAAAAAGCAATAGAGGCCAGCTGTGCAGACAAGGGCACACAATTAAAATGTTTCAAGGATCATTTTCCAGCTTATTGCCTATATACTTCACCACAGTAAATAGCAAATGCCAAACAGTGATTGCAGTCCAATAAATTGTGATGTATACATAAACGCTTCTTGCACATAAATCAAATTCAGCTGACAAAATTATAGCAAACATTAAATGGAGAGGAGGAGAGATGTCATACAGGGCGGGACTGGCCCACCGGGATACCGGGGCACCTAGGGGCTGGGGCCGATCAGACAGCCCTAAATTAGGCAAATTTAATTTAAATGATTTTCCCCTGTCTCAGTCCGAGGGATTAAGGAGGGAGGTGCGGGGGACTGGTGTATCCCCAATTAGGGTGCTGGCTGCTGGAGGGAGACCTGTCAGTCTCACTGCACAATGCTAAGCAATTTGGTGCCGCATGCCCTCCCTTGCACTTAAACCCTGCCTCCTGAATACAAGCCCCGCCTCTGACCTCCCTGGAAGGAAGAGGCCAGAAAATGACAAATTCACCTACCAGTGCCAGGTAAGCGTCAGCTATGACAGTATGACAGTAATTGTCTGTGTGTGCCTGCTAGTGAGTGAGCTTGTGTGTCTGCTAGTGAATGAGCTTGTGTGTGTGTGTCTGCTAGTGAGTGAGCTTATGTGTTTGTGTGTGTGTGTGTGTCTGCTAGTGAGAGAGCTTGTGTGTGTGTGTGTGTGTGTGTGACTGCCAGTGAGTGAGCGTGTGTGTGTGTTTCCTAGTGAGTGAGCTTGTATGTGTGTGTGTCTGCTAGTGAATGAGCTTGTGTGTGTGTCTCCTAGTGAGTGAGCTTGTGTGTGTGTCTGCTAGTGAGTAAGCTTGTGTGTGTGTGTCTCTATAGTGAGAGAGCTTGTGTGTGTCTGCTAGTGAGTGAGCTTGTGTGTTTGTGTGTGTGTATGCTTGTGTGTGCCTTCTAGTGAGAGCTTGTGTGTGTGTGTGTGTGTCTGCTAGTGAGTGAGCAAGCTTGTGTGTGTCTGCTAGTGAGTGAGCTTGTATATGTGTGCGCCTGCTAGTGAGTGAGCTTGTATATGTGTGCGCCTGCTAGTGAGAGAGCTTGTGTGTATGTGTATCTGTGTTTGTCTGCTACTGAGTGAGCTTGTGTGTGTCTGCTAGTGAGCTTGTGTGTGTGCTAGTGAGTGAACTTGTGTGTGTGTCTGCTAATGAGTGAGCTTGTGTGTCTGCTAGTGATTTAGCTTGTGTCTGTGTGTGTCAGTAAGATTGTATTTCTGTGTGTCAGTGAGCTGGTCTGTAGTAAGCTTGTGTGTGTGTCAGTTTGTCTGTACTAAATGTGTGTGTGTGTACCAGTAAGCTTGTCTGTGTGTGTCAGTGAGCTTGTCCGTAGTGAGCATGTGTGTGTATCAGTGAGCTTGTCTGTAGTGAGCATGTGTTTGTCAGTGAGCTCTTCTGTAGGGAGCATGTGTCTGTGTGTGTGACAGTGAGCTTGTCTGTATTAATTTTGTTTGTGTGTACCAGTAAGCTTCTCTGTGTTCATCAGTGTGCTTGTTTTTTTTTTTTATGTCAATGAGCTTATGTATATCAATGAGATTGTCTGTGAGCCTGTGTATCAATGAGCTCTGTGTCTGCATGTGAGTATGCTGACTGTTTAATTTAACCCCTTAAGGACCGGACTGTTTTTGCGATGTTGTACATTTGCGACCAGGCATCTTTTTACACTTTTGTGGTGTTTGTGTTTAGCTGTAATTTGCTGCTCTCTCATTTACTGTTCCCATACAAATTATATATTGTTTTTTTCAGGACAAAAGGGGCTTTCTTTACATACCATTATTTATATAATCTCAATTTACCTAAATTTTTAAAAATGAAAAAATATGATGAAAAATTGAAAAAAATACATGTTTTTTTTACTTTTAAGTGAAAAATATTTTACTCATCTACAAAAGCGAATGAAAAAAACTGCTAAATAGATTCAAAATTTTGTCCTGAGTTTAAAAATACCCAGTGTTTACATGCTTTTTTGCTATTTTTTTGCATGTTATAGGGCTATAAGTACAAGTAGGATATTGCGGTTTCAAAACATACATTTTTAAAATTTATCAATAGTGACATTGTAACACTATTATCTGTCATAAATCTCTGAATAACACCCCACATGTACATATTTTTTTTAAAGTAGACAACCCAGGGTATTCAATATGGGGTATGTCCAGTCTTTTTTAGTAGCCACTTAGTCGAAAACACTGGCCAAAGTAAGCATTCATATTTGTTTGTGTGTGAAAAAAGTAAAAAAACTAAATTGAACGCTAATTTTGGCCAGTGTTTGTGACCAAGTGGTTACTAAAAAAGACTGGACATACCCCATTTGCAATACCTTGGGTTGTCTTCTTTTGCAAATGGTATGCCATCATGGGGGTAATTCTCATTCCTGGGCTACCATACGCTCTCAAAGGCAACGTAACCAACCTGGCCATTTTCAATGTAAAAATATTTGACCCATATATTTGACCCTGTAACTTTCAAACACGCTATAAAACCTGTACATGGGGGGTACTGTTATACTCAGGAGACTTTGCTCAACATAAATATTAGTGTTTCAAAACTGGAAAACGTATCACAACAATTATATCATCAGTAAAAGTGCTGTGTGTGTGAAAAATGCAAAAAAGGTCACTTTCACTGACAATATCATCACTGTGATATGTTTTACTGTTTGGAATCACTAATATTTGTGTTCAGCGAAGTCTCCTGAGTAAAACAGAACGCCCCCATGTTACAGGGTAAAATACAGTGCTAGCAAATTAAATTCTCTGGACTTTCGGCCTGGGTTGGCAGGCAGGTCCCTCAAATTGCAATCAATAAAATTACTTAATTATGTGAAAATATTACATAAATACGCACGTAGAATTTAAATATAGTATATTTATATAATTATTTATGTAATTTTGTATATGGACATATGTATATTTCGTATTATTTTTATTTATTTATATATACATAGATATATACACAATTTCATTCTTAGTGTATTTTGAGATATATATATATATATATATATATATATATATATTAATATAAAAATACAGTTAGAATAAAATTTAATATAGATATATAATTTTTTTTTAAATTTTTATTATTATTTTTACTTTTTTTATTTAATTTAAATTACTTATTATTTGTATTTTATAATAATATATATATACACAATATATATATAGTTATTATATATATATATATATATACACACACACACACACGTGTAATTTAGTTATAAGTGTATTTTTATATTAATATATGTATATATTAATATAAAAATACACTTAGTATGACATTATATATGATATATAGACATAATATAAATATATATATATACACACACACACACATACATATATATACATATACACACACATATACACATATATAATTTTTTTTTAAATTAACATTAAAGTCCCCCTGCACTCAGACACATGTTCACCTATTGTGACCATGTGATCGCTCTGTTGAGCGATCACATGGCCCCCGGGGTCCTAATCCGCAATGGGGAGACTGTCTGGGCTGCAGGCAGTCTCCCCACACCGGGAGCACCGCCGATCACCACCGGGGGAACGATGGCGATCGGGTAACAAAGACCATTAGGACGGTTCAGGACCATCACCGGTCGGCAATGCAAAAATGCCGATGACGGTCCTGAACCATCCTTGGTCCTTAAGGGGTTAATTACCCTGAAAGGATCAATATTTTGAATTTGAAAAATAAACAAACCAATAATATGTATGGCTAT